ATCCACACTATGTATATGTATACAAACTACTACTGTGCTTTCTATATTTAATCACAGACTTTGCAGCTAAACAATGCAACACATTTCTGCTTTCATACAGTGATAAATGACATGACAGTAACCCCATTATTACTTCCTAATCAACCCCTTTTGGTTCATATGCACGTGTGTGTGTGTGTGTGTGTGTGTGTGTGTGGCTGTGTGTGTGTGTGTGTGTGGCTGTGTGTCACAGAACAGAACACCACAGTTATTCAGTGTCTCCACAAAGGAACCACTGTGTTCTGGGACAGACGGCACACACTGTCTCAACACTCGTCTTTTTTGTGATTTGAAGCTTTTCTCTGTAGATTCCTCAGACAGACACACACATATTCATATACCGTGTAAATCACACATACACTCAGCCACTTGGAGATTGACCTGTGCTGCTCTCTGCTGGCGAACACACATTAGAGCAGCTCAGTCGTGGTTCAAATCACTGGTCCTCTTACCGGGTGTCCTGGAGGCTTCATTTTGCATGATCTCCATCAGCAGAGATGATCTTAGTTATGAAACTGGCCTGTTATCACTTTGCTTTAAATCTACCTTTTTAACAGTGCAGATTTGACGAAGAATGATTAATGTGACTCTTAGGATTCTCAAACTGAAGTAGTTCAGTCAAATTACAAGCTGTCTGACTTTAAAAGGCCTGCAAATATCCTAATCCTGGAGGTGTTCACTATCTCTGCTACATAATGTCATTTTCACTTGAAGGCAGTTTTTAAGATGTGTGTGAAACATTCTCAAATCTTATTTCCCTGCATGTGATTAAATTTGAATTGCTTTAAAGTGTTTATTGGACAAAATTAAATATTTCAGTCGGTCTGTTTGTGCTCTTAGAAAATGTATTGGGTGTTTTGGAGATGATGCAGATTTGTCTGGAAACCACGTGATGTGTTTTTTTTTTTTCCTTTTTAAATAACTTGATATTAAGAGTAGTCATTAACTGCTAAAGTACCTTTAATCTCTAAAAGTTAGATGCTAATCCTCTTCCTCTCTTTCCATGTGTTTGTGCAGCTGAACTGGAGTTTGTTCAGATCATCATCATCATCGTTGTGATGACTGTGATGGTGGTGGTGATCATCTGCCTGCTCAACCACTACAAGCTCTCCACCTGGTCTTTCATAACGAGGCAGAGCCAGGCCCGCAGGCATGACCATGCCCTACAACAGGTCAGTGTGGGTGGGTGGGTTTGTGGGCGGGTGGGTGTTTGAGAAACAGAGAAAGAAAGGGAGAGCTAAAAAGAGACTGTTTGTTTGTGTTGCTTGTACTGAGTGGCTCAGACGGCACTGTTCTCCCAGCATCCATGCCAGTAACATTTTGATCTAAACTGGTGTCTGTGTGTGCGCGCGCATGTGTGTTCATCTGTTCTCACTGAATGTCCCTGCCTACTCATTGTGACAGTACATTTCTGTATTTCTGCAGCAGGACAAACATAGCTTACCAGTATGTTCCCAGTAAAGCTGTGCTGAGCTAAATGAATCCTTTTATCCCAGTCTGAGTTTCTGTCCCAGTTTCAGCGAGGTAACGTCTTCGCGCGCGTCTGTTAGATGAACTTGCTGAATTGGTTTCTTCAGAGCCAGACTCTGTCAGGCCTTGATGTTTAATTCACTACAGCGCCGTCTAGACGGCAGCCGCTCTGCCCCCGTACTGACATGTACACTCTGGGACAAACACACATGCACACACACACACAGTTTATTTATGTGCGTTGAAATAGACTCAGGCTCAAAACATGATGCATTATGGATCCATAAACATATTCAGCCTACCTAATGATTTGTCAGCTTTGGTGTACTGTTACCAACAATTTGAATATTAGTGTTCAGCTAATAAGCTCTGCTTTTTGATTCCTCCTGCCACTCTGTGCTGTGTATCATTCAATCAAAGCGAGGTACAAAGCAACATCAGAAAGCAACAAGCCCACTGAATGATGACCTTTACCTCTAAAAGATGCATGAATAAACAGTATTTATGCATGTTTATGCTTCTCATGTTGCCCCCCCTAAAACAAAACAAAAAAAAAAAACCAGCTAAATGTTGTTGACTGTGCTGTCTGAGAAAAGATCCTCAAGTCAAGTGTAGATGAAGGGGAAACTTCAATTATTTGACAGTTGTGTTTATTTGTTGTAGCTTTTATCCTGCCTATTTTTAAAATGGAGTCTTCTGTCTTTTGTTGTGCTCTCAAACAGGGCAGAATTTTGGGTTTGAAGCCATCAGGCATTTCTCAGTGCTGCTGTTTCATCTTTTGTGTCCTCATTAAGTTGTTACTTTTTGGTTTTTTGTTGTTGTTGTTGTTTTTTTGGGTTTTTTTTATTCATGCTTTCTTCTTTTTCTTCTCCTTTTTTTGTTCTTTAGCTGTGAAGTAAGAAAGTTTGTTAATGGTGTCACATCAAAATCCTTTTCAGACACAGCAAACAGTAATGACTGCAGACTTCTAAAGCATTACACATTTTATCCCTAGAGCCCAGCCCCAGCTCATCCTCAGTATCCAGCACTGGATATCTGGGCATATATTTGGTCAGCTCAGATTCTTATTGTTACATTGGGAGCTGCTCACCTGGACAGGCTACGTGATGACACCATTTTTACATTTTCTTTTACATGTATTTTTCTCATCTTAAATTCTGGACCAGTCCTGTTTATGCATCTCTAGTAATATGTCGTTTTTGTTGCTAACCTGAGCATCCCACTGAAGCACAAACACAACAATCTTCAACCCACCCGGGGACTTTTTGAACCTTTGCCTTCCTCTTTGTTTGTGTCTTCATGTGCAGGACGGGTGCCTGTGGCCTTCAGACAGCGGCTCTCGGCAAGGTGCCTCGGAGGTAAGACCACCACACTGACTCCCGATAAACACATTCAGCTAATGCCGCATGTTATAGGAGCTGAGTGCTCAGCTGAATGAAACTTCACTTTTCCACAATGAAACTGAGTATTGCTTTGGCTACACTTGTTATATGTAAACTTACAAATATTGAATTTCAGTAGATTCAGCAAGTTCTTACTAAAATTTCTGCTAGTTTGGCTGTCTGCAGGCTCCTGAGTGTGTAGCCTCTAACCAGTTAAGTTACTGTGATAAGGTTGTTGGTCTTTTCTCTCTGAGCATTGGATCTGGAAACAGTTGTGATCCTTGGACACATTTTCTGTCAGGAATTTCCTTGAATTGCAGGAGCTTTTAGAAATTCTCAAACCTTTAACAAAGTAAGGTATAAAGAACTAAATGGAGACAATGACTCTTGTCAGCATCGCAACTATAAGGAAACAATGAATGCATAAAACAGCACTTTTTAAAAAAAATTAAAAGAACACAGTTACACTGATGGGCTCTCCAAACAAACAAAAAACTATGAACGTGCAATGATGATGTCAACAAATATTCAGCCCAGCGCAGTATCCTTCCTCAGTACAGATTTTGTCTGTAGGCAGAGTGCGTAGATGAGTGTAGAGGTATTGTTAACTGCAACGTATGGCTGAATAAATTTTGATAATCTGACACATTTATTGCAGCTGCATCTCAGTCAGAATCACAGTGTGACCACCTGGACTTGGTTCATTTGGTTAGGACGCTAAATTAGTTTCTCGCCTCGTTTTTAGGGAAGCAATTTAAATATTAATAAAAACCTCGTTGGCAGCTCTGGTTATGGGTTAATTCAGTGTTTGTCCTTGTGGAAAAACCAAGTGATCTTTAAAGGCTTACAATCAGATGCTCTCTGCTGCTGAATATTTTATTTTCAAGTAGCTGCAGCCCTTACAAATAAACACAACAAATACAGAACCCCAAAATTCATACCTTTTTATCAAACTAAAATGCTACGAAAAGAACATAGATGATAAAAGTGCATTTAACAGTTTGGCATTCAGAGTCGGTATAGAGAAGTGCAGTGTGTAAAAATGGTAATTAAAAGGAATAAAACAGAGAAAGGAGACCTGAACACACTCAGGGATGGCTTTTGTCTAATCTCCACGCTCTGCTCGCCCCGTTATAAAAGACATCCATTTCCTCTCAGCTTCTCTTTGTGTCTTTGTTGGCTTATTTATCAGCGCTTGCCCTTGTAGAGTTGTTTGGCGGTTCAGTCAGGGCCCAGAGAGCCTGATATGTGCATTTTTTTGCTTGCTGGTAAATATTTGATCGTGCAGGAATTGGAGCTCACACACTGTGTTGCAATGGGTATGCCTGGCACTGTACTCCAAAACAAGATCAAAATTGGCATGTTCTCAAAGACTCGTGAATACAAAAGCACAAACAAATGCCAGTATACTCATTGTGACTGGTGATCTGATCTCTTAATTGCGTTGATGCCAGATGGAGGAGCTTCCGAGTCAGGGTCGGAAGAGACGCGCTGGGAAAATCACATGGTAGTATTGATTAGTTGCAGATAATAGTATATTGAGGCTGTGTGAAAGTTTTTGGCTGGCAAGTGTGGATGCACTTTGGCAGTCTGTACTGGCTTGTAGCACCAAGTCGGATTTAAAAGGCCCCAAGAATTAAGCCACAAAAAAAAAAAGACGTAAAAACGACGTGTGCACCCAGAGAGACCCGGAAACTAAGGAAAAGGCCACGGAGAGACAAACGCAGAGGGAGACGCAGCCACTGAGTGTGGGTGGCTGATGGATGCAGGGATGGGGGCTGACTGAGTGTTTGTGTGGCAGGGCGGGGGGTTGGATGGTTTTTGGTGCGTCATTAATCAGCAACACCTCCCCTGACACTGTCTAGACAGACGTCTGAGAGCTGCCCCGCTCTGCTGCGCTCTGCTCCCTCTATCAGCTCCACACCTTTCTCCCCCTGCCGTCTGTCTATTTGTCTATCTCTGTCCTTTCTCTCTCTGCCTTCAGCTCTTTTTCCCTTCTCGCGTTTTATCTCCCTGCCTCTTTCTTCTCCTCCTTTCATTTCTGTGCTCTTTCTTTCTCTCTCCTTATCTCAGTAGCCTTTCCTTTTAATCCTTTCAGTTCCACTCTTTCCCTCACTCCGTCTCTCCATTTCAATTGCCCTGATCCTCTAAAAACCCCCTCCCTCCCCCGTCTGTTGTTCTCTCCACCCAGACTGCCTTGTCAGTGGGGGTTGGCTATTAGAGCCGCAGTCACTAATTGAAATGGGTTCCCTCTGATAATGACTCGACACAGTGGAAATGTGTGGAATTGGATAGAAATGTGAGAAATGAAGAAATGGATCGTGCCGTCACAGTCTGAAGAGTTAATTGAGGTGAAGATCTCTGACAAAAGCTGGTGAATGAACCGGTGTGCTGAATGTTTTTCTGTTTGAGTGCGGGCTCCTTTCTTCCTCTTTACTGTAATTACATTGTAATGTCTGTCACAGCTAATTGGTGGCACGCTGGCGTGTGCCGTTGCTGCACCAGGATATCATTCATTTTAAATATGCAGCATGGTAACCATACTTCACTGTACGGAGCCTCGTCTCCCAGCAAAAGCCTGCGTGAAGTCAGCGTATACAGAAATGATTGTTATGCAGAAAGCATCATGTGACTTGCTGTGAGGCCATAACTGGTTTACACTGTGACCAAAACAGAATAAACAAATGAAGGCTGTGTACAGGGTAAGGTCAGAACTGCTAAACTGTTAATAGACTCTGGGTATGACTCTAAAAATTACAGGTAATGAATTGGGATGGATGAATAATCGCAGATAAGTCACTTGACAAATAAAATGAGAAACACTTGTTGCTTCCAGCCTCATTGCTGGTTTGATAGATTTGGATTTTGGATTGCAGGCCAGACGTGATAAGTAGTTTTTGCTGCTACAGTGTCATTAACTCACAAGGCTGCCTGGTCATGAAAATGATTTTAATGATTAAAAAAAAAAAAGATGTTTAACGATGAGCTGCTGAATTATTCCCAAAAGCTCAAACAGAAGTTTTGTAGATCAAACAGTGACTCTCAGTTCATTGCACTGAACATCAGTTTGAGTGTTTGGTCATTTTCACGTTGTATGTGTATCAGAAAGATACTGGTATGAAGACTGATCGAGTTCCTGTTGATGCCAGCCAGCTCACAGCCAAGCTTTTATCTTTGTCCTCTCCTCGTGCATGTCCCAGCTCATTCACTCCTCTGTCTCGCTCTGTCTCTCAGGTGTTATATGCTCCGCAGGCGAGGGATCGCTTCACCGCTCCCTCCTTCATGCAGCGTGACCGCTTCAGCCGCTTCCAGCCCACCTACCCCTACCTGCAGCATCAGATTGACCTGCCGCCCACCATCTCTCTGTCGGACGGGGAGGAACCACCGCCGTACCAGGGACCCTGCACCCTCCAGCTCCGTGACCCCGAGCAGCAGATGGAGCTGAACCGCGAGTCGGTGAGGGCACCGCCCAACCGGACCATCTACGACAGTGACTTGATCGACATGGGAGGAGGCGGGAGTCTAGGAGGGGTAGGGGGAGGAGGGGCTGGGATGGGGGGCGGTGGCCCGAGGCCGCCCAGCAGTAACTCGGGCATCAGTGCCGCCAACTCCAGCAGCCACGGGCGTATGGAGGGCCCCCCGCCAGCATACAGCGAGGTGATAGGCCACTACCCTGGCTCAGCATTCTTTCTACACCAGCACAGCAATAACCAGAGGGTGGGGAGGCCGGGGGGGCTGGGGAGCAGGACAATCCAGCAGCAGAGCCAATCAGAAAGCACAATTGTACCTGCCAAGGCCAAGGACGGCCAACCAGAGGACTTGGTGTGAAGAAACGGGGAGGGGAGAGGTAGGGCAACCCACCCCAGACTGAGATCTGTGTCTCTCGTTCACCCCAGACCTCCTGTAAGCCGGGGTGTCTCTTATCGCTCTGTCTCTCACGTCCTCTCTCCACACTCCCATGCACAAACACACCAACTTTAGCTACAGAAACGAGCAAAGAGAGGAACCAACAACTGATCTCATTTCATCCATGCGCTAGCACTGCTGGGACAGGATGTACGCACTGTGTCCAGACTTTTTTTTTCCTCCTTATTTTAAGAAAGAACCACACTGCTAGCACAGATTGAAACAGTTTTCTCTTTCACCCCCCCCCACTCCCCCCGGCGGTGATGCCGCTGTCCCCAGGAACTGAGGAGGGATCAGTTTTGGGGGGGTTTGTTGTTTTCTTCTTTCTTCATTGTTTTTCTGTTTTTGGACCGGGATCTGTGCACAAAGCGAGAACTGAGAATCAAGGACTTTACAGAGAACACAACGAAACAAGAGACTCACAAACCCAAATCTTAGTGCCAAGGTTCACAAGGAAGCAAAACAAAGGGGGGGGAATGACTTGTTTTAACATTGAAAACACAAAAGAAACGTTATCTCAAAGTTGCACTATCTTTTTGTTGTAAAAGAGAAGAGGGAAATGATGTTATGTTATAACAGCGATGTTTTTAATTTCCTGTCTTGTTTGTTTGTTTTTTGGCCTTTTTGTGAATGGACTGATTGACTGACTGAACTTTGGCTCCAAAGTTGTTTTAAACAATTGGGAGCAAAAACAAAAAAACAAAACAAAAAAACCCAACAACAACAAAAAAACAACAACAAAAAAAACAAGTATTATAAGCTTATGTCCTTCCTTTTTTGAAAACCGCAAGAAATCCTTGTACCCAGCCTAAACATCTCTGTCTGCTTACACCACAGGCACAGTGAGACTTAGTAAGAGAATAACCTGTACTGCTTCATGTCTGCGTTCACATCATGGGGAGGGGTGGGGGGGTAATCTGCCTCATGAGCAGCTGCTGGATTGATGGCGTGTTATAACTAACCACCAGAGGAAGTGAGCAAAGATTAGAGTCCTAAACACAGCTTGGCTGGATTCAGTGGGATCCAGGCTCAGGTTTGTGAGATATCAGCCCAGCTGTTTTGATATCAAGTTAAAAAAAAAAGCCCTCGGCCCCTGTTAAGGAGGGTCTGTCTAGCAGGTGGTCAGAGCAGATTCTTCTCATTTCAAATCTACCCTGACTGCTGAGTACCTGATGTTTCCTCTCGCCCCCATTCCCTGCATCCAGGTCCACTGCCCTTCCCCAAATGCTCGTCTCAGACATCTTGCACAGTGCATTCTGCCAACAGCCACCACACTGAACTCGAACCCACACAGAAAAACACAAAATATGTGAAGAAGAAGAAGGAGGGGGGAAAAAAAGAAGGCTCGACTCTCCGTCTTCACGTTTCTAAAGCCACAAAAGAATGACACAAAGTGAAGATTCCTGTCTGCGTCTGTCAGCACAGAGATCAGGTTTTTAAAGGAAAATTGTCTGTGGTCAAAGTCAAAGGGCTATGGGAGGCTCCTTTTTGTAAAAGAAACACAGAAAAAAAACCTTTTTGAAAATCTAGCCTTTTTCTCTGCTCATCGTTGCCTTCTCCTCTGCTCTTGCGCTTTATCTGTCTCTCTTTCCTGTTTGCGCCAGTCCCCCTCCCCCCTTTTCTAACGGCGTCTCCGGTAAACACTGTTCATCATCACTCCATCCATCCATCCATCCGTGTGCAGAAAAAGTGCGATCAAGTGATGCAGAGTCCGCCGAGCCCTTTAAAGTGGAGACTGGAGTGGAGTTCTCATTCGGCAGCATGCTGGTGCAGCCCTCTCCTCACTGTATAAGTGTGTACACGTGTGCGTTTGTTGGTCAGACCTTTTAACAACACAGAAAAGCACTTAATGCTCCTGCAGGAGTTTTGTGTGTGTGTGTGTGTGTGTGTGTGTGAGAGATTGTAACTGAATGATTTATTAACTGACTCCAGTTTAAACATTCAAGGACATATTACTTCTTTAACACAGCTTCAGTTCAGCTTTCATCGGGATACAGTCGAGTGTCTTTCTTAAAAAGGCAGAAATGCTCCATGTTTGATTGTCACAGTGCAAAGGTGACATCACAGTGAGCCTCAAACAAAGTGGACGCATCCAGCAAACCCCAAAAAGGAAAAGCCCAGCTGGGATGATGATGATGTGAGTCTGTTCCATACTACGTACTGGTTCCAGGCGTGCTAGCAGTACAGCCTCAGCACGTCGGCGTGCACGCGGGACATGCTTGTTTTCTGAGTGAAGTGCAGTCTTTATAGTCCCTCCATGTATTAAATCTTTGAAAAACGAAAGCTCTGCTTTCTTTTCAAGATCAGAGGACAAGGTTGTATGAATTTGATGTTTTTCCTACTCTCAGCAAATCCCATGAAAGTGTCTAAATACTTTTGTGACCTCCTCACCCCGTCTGTAGCACTCGGCACTAAGCACCAGTTCCATTCATTTCTGCTGAAGAGACACAATATTTAAAAGAAGCATTTGGCTCAAGGTTAAATTAGTGTGTTTCTTGTTAATGCCAAAATTCATCGTCGAAGAGCAATCGCTTTCACAGTCCACTGTTGTCACGATTTTAAAGCTCTGTACGTGGGAGTCATTATGACAGGTCTGTTAGTGGAGCTTTTTAAAAAAAAAAAAAAAAAAAAAATCCAACCAGTGGATTTTTCAGCGTGAGGCTCACAGGGAGGTGGGTGCAGCACCTGGACGCTGCACACGTGGCTCTAGTTAGATTTGGACTGGTTGAGGACTATTTTAAGCTCAAACACATTTGGTGCTCTAGTGGGCACTAGCACCCACAGGAAGGCTGTGTGAGTCCATGTATACGGCTGCGTGCTGGTAATGAAGGAACATGCTTTCCGGTGCGACTCACTGTTATTCAACCACAGTCGAGCTCATGGGAATAACATGCTAACAATAACACGTTTGCAGATCATTTTTGTTTCAGGAAAATGTGTGAATCTGTTGCCAGGATGTTTCAGAAAAGCTGAAGAAGTTGCAGGATGTTTCACAGCTAACTGGCAACAGGTCCATAGCATCTTTGATTAGAAAGGATCGTCTTTCAGTAAAGACGGTTAGTGATACCATACTCTGAAGACTGCAACGGAAAACGTGTTTGTGCCCACGCTCGTGCCAGATGAAACCCTCAGTAATGCTGGGTGATGGAGCAACATGTGGTCCCACCCTGATGATCTTTCAGTGAAGCCTCTGCTTATTTCAGCAAGACCGTGCTTCTCATACCTATGGGATGAGCTGCTAGGATCAAATTTAAGCGACACGTGTAAAATGTAGTCTGATCATTTGATATAATCTTGTTTAAACTGCTCATTTAAATTATTTCCATTAGGCTGTGTTGGGTTTGTAACATTTTACACTGAATCCCAGGGTGCACTGGGAACATGCAGTACTTATGAATCTTTTCATGGGATTTGTTGACAAGAAAAAATATAAAGTAACACCAGGCTGAACATCTTTTATCACTACTTGTCAGCGCACAACAAAGAAAAACTTGATGAGGTCTCGTATGACGAATACACAAACCTCTGTAGTATGAAATGAAATGTGTCGGTGTAGAACACCTGCTGCTGCCAGATGAACACGGGTGATTATTGGACGAGTGCAGCAGTGTTCGATGGCATCATGCCAAACAGCTGAGGTGGAAGCAGGAAGTGGTTCTTCATGTATGTTTGTCCCCCTCCTTCCACACTCATGAGTCACTTATAAGAAAGTTTCAGTCAGTCTGAACGGAAGCCCCGTCGGCATCGGTGTGTTTGAATGTCCCAGTGGTTATCAGCTGACTCTAAGGTTTTGTTGTTTGTGTGTGTGAGTGAGATCACATCGCTGCTATTGCTGTTGCTGCTGCTACTGTTGTTGCTACTGCTGCTTCTCATGCTCACCCCAACCCGCCCAAAGTCTTTGTATCACCCCCCCTCACATCAACCAGAAGGAGAGAAATCTGGCCCTTTGCAGTCAAACCCACAAGTATTGAGACATCAAGCCTTGTGTTCCAACACTTTGACTTCAGACGAGCAGAGGTGTGTTTACCTAGCAAAGATTGTCCCAACACTTGGCCTTTGACCTACTCCAGCCCCACATCTTCTTCCCCCGTTTTTTTTTTTTTTAATTTATTTTTTCCTTCTTCTTCTTTGTTCTCTGCTTGTTCTTTCTGCGCAGTCATAGCTTGTAAATGGAGGATACAAAGATGAATTTTATGTTTTCTACAAGGAGGTTTGCATGTTACTATTATGTGAGTAAATAAGGTGCCTAACGTTCATGTTTGAGCAGACCACACCTCAGTCAGACTGCTGCTGGGAATCCGCGAGGGTGGCTTCATCGCCGCCTGTCTGGCAGAATAGAGAAGCAGAGTGCGAGGACGGCCAAAGAGCGATCCTTTGTCTTTTTTTCTTTTTTTTTTTCCTCTCTCTAAAGTCGTGGACGGATGAGTCTGCTCCGACATTTAGGATTCTGGGGCGTTCTCAAGCTCTTGTTAATTTAGCGACACCCACGCACCCACCCTCCCTCCCAATGAGCAACAGTGTGCCTGTTTCCAAACTTGCTGCTCCACCTTAAACTTTTTTTATTTTTATTTTTATTTTTTTTGAGTGCGGCAGTTGCTCACCGGCCATTGTGCCAGACAGGACCGGTCGCTCCTAGAGAAGCCACTGAAGCCATTCCAAGCAGTAATGTGACCCGTGTGGAGCAGACATAGGAAACCCACTTGCACTCAAAAAGCTCCCACCTTCGTTGTGCCTCACTTCCAACGGTGCTTTTTTCAGTAGTCTGTCTTTCTTTATGTTTGTTTGTAAGGTGCTGTATATAACTTGAATATATTATGCACATATCCTACCCAATGGGTAGAAACCACAAAAAGATGTTGTGAATAATGTAATATAATGTATAGACGATATAAGAATTTTAAGAAGGCAGCATCAAATTTGTAAATGCCTACAGTTAAAAATGTGCTTTGTCTTTTTTTTCCCTTTTTTTTTTTAAAAAAAAATAAGAAAACGTGGTTTGCAAAGTACGCTTAGAAAATGGTTGCAACACAAATACAAATTACTACTTAATAATATTTTGCTATGAATAGTCTGTTATGAGGACGAGAGAACCTCGGGATTAAGGACCCTTGTTGAGAGACGATATTCACGTGTTTGTCGGATTCTTCTGTCACAGTGCCAGCCATCATTTAGGCACTGGCTGATGATTTTTCTTTTGACCAACTAACAAATGTATAGCTCTATTATACAGATCTTTTAAGAAAACCTATATCTCACACACACACACACACACACACGAGAGCTGTCAGCACCTCTCCGTGATCTTGGAGAATGTGCTCCTCTGTACGTCTGATTTTTAGTTTTTGTAATTCTGCCAAAGTGTAAAAACTCGCTGAGCACACTGGGCTCTGCTTATTGGTCCGGCTGGATGTTTAGGCATTTCAGCTCTAGTTTTTAATTGCATGGTTGTCAAAGAGGAAAACCATCAATGGAGGGGAAGAAGGAAAAAGAAATCCATTTAGTTTGGAAAGTTGCACCAGCATGGCACGAGCGAGGGGAAAAAAGCCGTTCAAACTGTCACTTTTTTTGTTTTTGTTTGTTTCCTCTGTTATTTTTCACGATTATTTTCTACATTATAATGTTATATGTGGCACAGTATATTAAAACAAAAGTCATGTTTAATCTGCAGTCATTTATTTACAGTATGTACTGAAAATAACTCCACTGTACAATAACCGCAGAGCATGTTCATTCTTATCTATAGACGATGTACATAGCAACGCGCCATGTTCTCTTTGAAGCACCAAATAAGTGGCAGTTGTGTAGTTTATATTTGGAAATGGTCTCTATTGTAACTTTGGCTGGCGTGCCGCTCGGCTCTCCTCTTCCTTTAATTTCAATTTAAAAGTTTTTCTTTCTCTTTTTCGTTTCCTGCACTAGCTTGAAGAATTAACGGGCTCAGACTGATCTTTTATTTGATTTCTCTCTTCGCAGTGCTCTCTCTCTCTCTCAGAAATGTGTACTCGACTGCTGACAAGACCACAAGTAGCTCTTTTTACTGTTCCTGATTTTAATGACGACGATATCGTGTCAACAGTTTGGTATTCTCTCAGTCTTGACAGCTAACATAGGACTGCTTCCATCATGGGTTTTGTAACATCGTTTAGCTTTCGTTACAAAAATGATTCTTCCTCTCCCCCCTCTGTGCTCAAATCTAGATATATATGGCTGTATTCAGTAACCATACAATGTGTGTGTGATTTTATATATATATCTATATAAATATATATATAATATAAAATACACACACATACACACAAACACAGAGGTAAAATTGTTGTGTATTTTTCCCTCTTTTTATTTAAGCAATTGTGATGTAATAGGTTTTAGGCCTAAGGTCTGTTATTGCAATACTTTTACAGAAAAGAAAAAAAAATCAAAAAATGTTGCTCTAAGTGCTGTTGTAGTCAAAGATTTTATGCTTGTACTTATGCTGTAGTCAAACTGCAGCGTAATGAATAAAACTTTAAAAGTGATTACTCTGTTGTTCTGCCTGTTTGTTCCTGTAGTCTTCTATAGATAATGAGGTTTTGTAATGTGATTACTGTGAAGTCGGTGTGGGCAGCCCTGCCACTCGGCTCTTTATCTGTCCTCGCTGAAGCGGCCAAATAACATGCGAGCAGGATTTAAGGCGGGTCAGCAGCTTCACGGCCTTATTAACCTGCTTTTCTGTGTTGCTTGGCAATGCAGGTGGAAGCCCGCTGCACGTACATGCAAAACACAGAGTAGGTTAATTTGGCTGCTATGATACAATTAAGACACATCGCATATTTCAGGACCGTGTTTTATATTTGAGTTTATCTGGAGTCTAAAGCATGTAGGCTACAGGCACCAGTGAGTCTTGAGAAAGAAGTCGTTTCAAGATTTTGTCAAGCTCTCAATTAAGTTTTAAACCACACATATACACCTTTTTTCAGCATCACTGGTTTGGGCCACTACTATTCATGGAGACTTCAGATCCTTTCACTGCTCATCAAAACAACCTGAAGTTCAACACTACTCATGCTCAGGACCTCAGCTGTGTATCTGTGTATCTCTAAGGCAAACCACATGATTGATTGTCAGTACAGGAACCTTTACCATTAAAACTGACATCTTTGGGCAGTTTTTGTCTGGAAAAATCCGTATGAAGCCCCAAGACTTTCCAACCAGTCTTAGGCTTAACCCTTGTGTTGTCCTCGGGTCATTTTTGACCCGAAAAGAAATCTTTCGCCATCAAAAATGTGTTTTTTATTCATCAAATGGTCTGAAAATAACAGGAGTTATTCAGTACTATGCTATGCATGATTGGTATAAGTTTTAAGTAATTTGATTTATTTATGGTTTTGGTTTTTATTGGATTTGCTAATACCTGTTGTCCTAAGGGGTCAAAAACGACCCCAAAGTACAAAGTGTTGTAAAGGGTCACATTGTCACAACATACTGCTTTCAAACATCTTTGATCTTGGATCACTGATGTGTGGGGTCAAGCAATGGTCATAACAACCACAACAACAACAACAGGCAACACAATGAGGAGGCGGGTGCTCTACATTCAGTTCAATTCAATTTTATTTATACAGCGCCAAATCACAACAACAGTCGCCTCAAGGTGCTTTATATTGTAAGGTAGACCCTACAATAATATATACACAGAAAGTATGAAAAAGTTTTTTGTTTTTTTACCATGTTGTGGAAAGGAATGACCAGTAGAACAATGCTCATATTGAAGGAAGTGAAGTGAAGGAAACCGATGAAGATGAGGAAGAATCTGAACTATGTTCAAGTAGGTTCTCAGGCATCCAGGACATGGTAGTCTAAGGAGCTTGGAGAGAAAGTGACTGGGCTTCTTGAAGTTTCTTGAATTTTCAGAATGTGAAACTGAAATAGAAGATGTGTCAGAGGACTACACATCATCCATTTCAATTATGATGAAGACAAAGAATCAAGCAGGAAAGAGGAGTCAACTGAGACAGAAATATTTTCAGTAATGTGAGGAAACATTGATCTGGTCTTCTATCCTTGTCAGTGACAGACGATGCATGACTCTCATGCGTCACAGAGAAAGACAATCTACCACGGTCCAAGCACATATGCCAGGTCCCATACTCCTTCGATTGCTTTTCTACTCGAGTACTGAAAGCATTATACACAATGTATTATGCTTTTTAACTTTCACATGCCAATGGATGCATCAGAGACCAAGTTGGGGTTCAGTAACTTGCCCAAGGACACCTTGGTAAGAACTCCAGACTAGAGCACACAGAGATTGAACCAACAACTATCCAATTAGCAGATGACCTGCTCTACAGCCAACTCAATGACAAACAAGGAGAGACAACAACAGATGAAGAATAATGGATCGAATGCAGCTGTAGGCATAGGTGGGTATGATTCTTACGGCCGTGCATCTATCCAGTAAAGTCGCTACAGCCAGTTTATGACATCCGGAGTCTGGTAGGGAAGTTTTCATGCTACCGTGCCTAACATGCTACCGTGCCTAACACAAGATTAATCATAGAATCTCAAAAGTGATATCATTTCATGATAAAGACACAATAGAAGATCATCGTTCATGACACAAACGTGCTCCCATGAGGTGTATGGAACACGTGGGTGTTTCTCCTGCTGTGATGTAAGATCCAGGTACTGATGTGACTGTATGAGCACCAAGTCCCATCAGAGGACTCTGTCCATTCCAACAGAACATCCCAAGTAAACTGGGGAACTATGAGATAAAAACATGGGCAGTATGTGATGCCAGGTACAGCTGTACATGGAACATAGTGTACGATGCTAAACTATCTGGCCCGCAGTCAGGGCACGCAAGTTGTCCCTAATACTACAGAAGGTTTCCAAAAGGAAACAATCACCTGTAACAACTTGTTTACTTCATATGCCCTTGGCCTGCAACTACAGAGAAGAAAGCTGTCCATGATGGGACCAGTACAGAGGAATAAACCTGAGCTTCCTCCTGCACTTGTGGCAAATATGGGTGTTAACAGACCTCTCTGCACTGAATCATACTTGTTATTAACCTCTGTCTCTCTTCCACAGCATGTCTTTTATCCTGTTTTCCTTCTCTCACCCAAACTGGTCGCAGCAGATGGCCCCGCCCCTCCCTGAGCCTGGTTCTCCTGGAGGTTTCTTCCCGTTAAAAGGAAGTTTTTCCTTCCCACTGTCACCAAAGTGCTTGTTCATAGGGGGTCATATGATTGTTGGGTTTTTCACTGTATGTACTATTGTAGGGTCTACCTTACAATATAAAGCACCTTAAGATGACTATTGTTGTGATTTGTTGCTATATAAATAAAATTGAATTAACACTTGTAAGTGTATATTAAAATCTTTTACCACATTCGACTGCTCTGCTGTGGGCTATAAGGGTTTGGTATTCTTTGCATTTTCATCACGTTGATATCACATTTGTTGCATTTAAAAAGTTGAAGAAGTAAAATAAGACGTTATCCAAAAAAGTATAATGTATACTATGTAGTATATATACTACTTGTATGGGATGCAACTGCTAAAACTGCCTTTTTGATGATAAATAAAACGTATAAATTAATGTCTTTTAAAAAAAATAGCAGCTTTTTAAATGTATATTTTTTTTATTGAAAGTTTTGTAATTATGACAGTCATCCACATAAAAAAAATGTAAGTTTTTCCATTCTATATATTTCCTCCATCCCAACAGGATGTTTATCAAATATTTGTCCCTTAAGCAGGCTGCTGATGGGATATTGCCCAAATACGCAGTACAGAAATCCAAATTTAATTTGAGACCAGTCACCAAGTAAATTGATTCGACCACTTCACTCCAGTATGGTTGGATTATTGGGCATTTCCAAAATATATGAAAATGATCTGCCATGTTTCCCCCACAGTTTCTCCAGCAGTATCCATCTGTCAGTTGACCTTTTTGTTTGTATTTTATTTTGGGTGTTATAAAAAACCTAATAAAATTTTTCCACGTGAATTCCCTCCAATAACCTGAACTAGTAGTTTCCATCTGTGTCCTGCATATATTTAACCAACTGTTAAACCAACTGTGTTGATTTTAGCCTCCGTCTCCCAATTAATTTTAATATAATTGGTTGATGGATCCTTAAGTGATTGTAGGTTCCGATACAGTTTAGCAATCAATTTATTTTTAATCTGACCTTTATAAGCTTCTTTTATAACGGGGACTA